TCTTCTATCTGCCAATCTCCTTGTGTCTCTTTTAAGGATGCTTGTCACTGGATTTAGGACCCACGCAGACAATCCAGGATGAACTACTCATCTCAAAATTCTTAATTTCATCTGCAAAGACCCCCTTTCCAAATTAAGTAACATTCACAGTTTCCAGAGATTAGGACATGGACATATCTTTTTGCAGGGTCATCAGTCAGCCGACTATATCCTGTCTCACCAACAGAATATGTTGTTATACTTTTTAATTTTTGTCATCCTGATAGGTTAAAAATGGTCTCAGTATTCCACCCTCCCCCCACCAAGAGACAGGGTCTCACTTTGTTGTCCAGGCTAGAGTGCAGTGGTGTAATCATAGCTCACTGTAACCTCAACCTCCTGACCTCAAGCAAACCTCCCACCTCAGGCTCCCAAAGCACTGGGATTATAGGTGTACGCCACCTCACCTGGCCTTTCTCTATATTATTTTAATTTGCATTTCTCTTTTTACACATTTAAGGGCCCCTTTTACATATTTTTTGTGAATTGTTCATTTCTCTTACCCATCTTTTCTGTCAGGTTTTTGGGTCTTTCCCTTGACATTAAGAGCAGTTTTGTTTTGTTGAGACAAGGTCTCACGCCGATGCCCAGGCTGGAGGGCAGTGGTGCAATCATGGCTCACTACAGCCTTGACTTCCAGGGCTCAAGTGATTCTCCCACCTCAGTCTCCCAAGTATCTGGGACTACAGACACACAACCACACCCAGTTAATTTTTTGTATTTTTTTGTAGAGATGGGGTTTCACCATGTTGCCCAGGCTGGTCTTGAACTCCTGGGCTCAAGTGATTGGCCCACCTTGTCCTCCCAAAGTGCTGAGATTACAAGGTGTGAGCCACGGCATCTGGCCAAGTTTTTTTTGTTTGTTTGTTTTTTCAATATATATATTGGGAATTGTTATAGACTAATTTGTTCCCCCTCCAGTTCATATGTTTAATATTATTAACTATAGTCATCGTGTTGTGCAATAGAACACCAGAACTTATTCCTCTCGTATAACTGAAACTTTGTACATACTGATCAACCTAACTCTTAATTTCTAGTAATTTATGTACTAAATTAAAGACTTAAGACATACAACCAGATATGTGTAGAGAGAGTGAACAAGAGGGAATTAACAAAATAATTACACGATAAAGGGTGGGTGCTATGGCTCACACCTGTCGTCCCAGCACTTTCAGAGGCTGAGATGGGGATCACTTGAGGCCAGGAATTCAAGAACAGCCCAGGGAACATAGTGAGACCTCATCTCTATAAATTTTTTAAATTATCTGGGTGTGGTGGTGGTATGCACCTGTAGTCCTAGCTACTTGGGGAGCTGAGGCTGAGGTGGGAGGATTACTTGAGTCTAGGAGTTTGAGGTGGCAGTGACCTATGATAGTGTCACTGCACTCTAGCCTGGAGTACAGAATGAAACACTGTCTCAAAAATAAAAAAGAAAGGTTAAATTACAAACTACTACTATGTACAGCAACATGAATATAATGTTATATCTATATGTATCTATGTATAGAAATAATGTTGAGCAAAGGAGGTCAGACACAACAGTACATACTATGTGATTCTATCTATATAAAGTTCAAAACCAAACCATACTATTCTATTATAGAGGTCAAAATAATGGTTAACTTTGAGGTGTAATGATTGGGAAGAGATATAAGGGAGACTTCTGGGATGTTGGAAAGTTGCTGTGTCTTTAATGGTGGTCGCATGGGTTAATTTTTTTATTATTTTATTATGTTTTTTTGAGACGGAGTCTCACTCTGCCACCCAGGCTGGGGTGCAGTGGCACCATCTTGGCTCACTGCAAGCTCTGCCTCCCGAGTTCATGCTATTCTCCTGCCTCAGCCTCCAGAGAAGGTGGGACTACAGGCGTGCCCGCCACCACGCCTGGGTAATTCTTTGTATTTTTAGTAGAGACGGGGTTTCACCGTGTCAGCCAGGATGGTCTCGATTTCCTGACCTCGTGATCTGCCCACCTCGGCCTCCCAAAGTGCTGGGATTACAAACGCATGAGCCACCGCGCCCAGCCGGGTTTATTTTTTTAAAAAGCCAGCAAGCTATAATTTTATTTATTTATTTTTATTTTTATTTTTTTTGCGACGGAGTCTCGCTCTGTCGCCCAGGCTGGAGTGCAGTGGCCAGATCTCAGCTCACTGCAAGCTCCGCCTCCCGGGTTTACGCCATTCTCCTGCCTCAGCCTCCCAAGTAGCTGGGACTACAGGCGCCCGCCACCTCGCCCGGCTAGTTTTTTGTATTTTTTAGTAGAGACGGGGTTTCACCGTGTTAGCCAGGATGGTCTCGATCTCCTGACCTCGTGATCCGCCCGTCTCGGCCTCCCAAAGTGCTGGGATTACAGGCTTGAGCCACTGCGCCGGGCCTCTATAATTTTAAAATTTGTGCTTCCTCGCTCTCTCTGTGTCTGCGTGTGTGTGATTGCATGTGTTCATTTCTTTTACCCACTTTTTTCTATCAGGTTTTTGGGTCTTTCCCTCGATTTTAAGAGTTTTTTGTTTTTGTTTTTTTGAGGCAGGGTCTCACTCCAACGCTCAGGTTGGAGTGCATTGGCACAATCACAGCTCACTATAGCCTCAACCTCCTTGGGCTCAGGTGATCCTCCCATTTCAGCCTCCCAAGTAGCTAGGACTACAGGTGTGCCACCACACCCAGCTGATTTTTTTTTGTTTTTAGTAGATAGGGGATTTCACCATATTGCCCAGGCTGGTCTCAAACTCCTGGACTCAAGTGTTCCACCCATCTCAGCCTCTGAAAGTGCTGGGATTACAGGCATGAGCTATACACACTCAAAATAAATGGAATATCTGCATTTTTAAATCACATTTTTCTTTCAGTTCTGGTTTTTGCTTCTGAAGCCCAAATTTTATTACACTTAATGAAACCTGTGCATGGGTAATTCATTTAAATAAACACAATTTCCGCTGGATTAGTGGACTTAAAAGACTAATGATGGCCAGGTGCGTTGGCTCACGCCTGTAATCCCAGCACTTTGGGAGGCCGAGGAGGACAGATCATGAGGTCAGAAGATCAAGACCATCCTGGCCAACATGGTGAAACCTCGTCTCTACTAAAAACAAAAATTAGCCATGCATGGTGGCACGCGCCTTGTAGTCCTAGCTACTTGCAAGGCTGAGGTGGGGGAATTGCTTGAACCTGAGAGGCGGAGGTTGCAGTGAGCCGAGATCATGCCACTGCACTCTAGCCTGGCAACAGAGTGAGACTCTGTCTCAAATAATAATAATAAAATATAATAATATAAATAAATAAAAGACTAATGATACCATATAGTAGTGAATAGATACTCTCATAGTATGTTGTATATTGGTGCAAACTTAATCAGGGCAATTGATAAAGATGTGTAAGCAGGTTTTAACTATGAAAGCCTCATTCTCAGCAAAATATCTAAGACTCTATAAAAAGATACAATTTACATGTGCACAGAAAGGCATATGCAGTAAAACATTGCATATAATGGGAAAAAGCTGGACAGAACTTACATATCCAAACAAAACAGTGCAGCCATTAAAAGATTATGACACAGTTCATAATTTAGTGACATGAAAATTTGTTCACTATATTTTGTTAGAAGAAACAAGTAGATTTCAAAACAATTGTTATATAACCCTGTTCTGAATCGAAAAATCCTATATGCCTATATCCATGCACTTATTCATAAATGAGGTGAAGTTATTTGGAATAAAATGTTCAAAGTGCTTACTTTAACCTTTTTTAATATTCTCCAATCTTCTGAATTAAGAATCTACTAATTTTTTTTTTTTTTTTGAGACGGAGTCTCGCTCTGTCGCCCAGGCTGGAGTGCAGTGGCCAGATCTCAGCTCACTGCAAGCTCCGCCTCCCGGGTTTACGCCATTCTCCTGCCTCAGCCTCCCGAGTAGCTGGGACTACAGGCGCCCGCCACCTCGCCCGGCTAGTTTTTTTGTATTTTTTAGTAGAGACGGGGTTTCACCGTGTTAGCCAGGATGGTCTCGATCTCCTGACCTCGTGATCCACCCGTCTCGGCCTCCCAAAGTGCTGGGATTACAGGCTTGAGCCACCACGCCCGGCCGAATCCTAAGATTTTATACACAATGAGTTCCTCTTCTCAGTTGCCTCTCATTTACCTGGACACAGAACTCCTGTTAACCTCTTCACGAACTATTGCTCCAAGAAGGAAATCACATCTGGTCTGGACATAAATTAATAGGGTAATTAATAATAAATCCTTCACATAGGCAAAGAAATGGAATTTTGGTCTGATGTGGCTATGGAGAATTGAGACCGTTCCTTAATCATCAAGCAGAAAGAAGTTAAGAAAGTATTCTGAAGGATTAGGGTGATAACACTTTATAAATAACACAGGAGAGACGCCCATTTCCACCTCTAGAAATCTTAAACCAGTCCTTCAGAAAATAACCTAAGAACCCTGAAGATTCCCTAATCAATCAGGGTGAAGAAAGTAAGATGTTCCCAGAATACAGAATTTGAACTGGAAAGGGGAAAACAGATGTAAAAAGGGAGACCCGGCTGGCCGCAGTGGCTCACGCCCAACACTTTGGGAGACCAAGGCAGGCAGATCACCTGAGGTCAGGGGTTTGAGACCAGCCTGGCCAACTTGGCGAAACCCCATGTCTAATAAAAATACAAAAATTATCCGGGCATAGTGGTGGGCACCTGTAGTCCCAGCTACTCGGAAGGCTGAGGCAGGAGAATCCCTTGAACCTGGGAGGCAGAGGTTGCAGTAAGCCGAGATCGCACCACTGCATTCCAGCCTGGGCGACAGAGTGATACTTGCTCTCAAAACAAAAAAAGGGGAGACCCAATTGGCTAGTTAAATGTATGTAGGTGTTATATCACACCCCTGAATAAATTCCTCTGATTTGGGGGTATGTGTGTCAGTCATCTGTACTCCACCCAGAAGTCAGTGCCACATTCCTGAGTCTACATACCCGTGAAATGACAGGAACCTGTGTGCCCATAAGGTCCTGGAGGTGAATGTAAAGTTGGTCAAGACATGGGAGCTAGACAGCAAGGAAAAGGAATTGCAAAGGGAAGTTAGTAGTCAAATAAATTACCATCTATCCATGTAATATAATACTAAGACAAATGCAAAGTTGTAGAAAATAGTTAAGGATAAGGAATCTTTTCAAGATACTGTATCAGAGAAATCACTTTACAAAACAGGTTGAACAATACAATTATATCAATATGCTAATTTTTAAAGTCTGGAAAGTTAAACACCTGTTTCAGTTATCTATTGCTATATAACCACTTCAAAAGTTTATGACTTAAAACAAAAAATAATTAGCTAATTATTTGCGGGGGTTGGCAATTTGAGCTTGGCTTGCCTGAGTGGTTCTTCTACTGATCATATTCATGTGACAACTGTCAGCTGTTGGCTTGGTGGAGGCTGGATGGTCCAAGATGGTCTCCCTGAAATATCTGGCCGTTGTTACTCACTGGACCTCTCTCCAAGAGATCTTTAATCCTCAAGCAAGCTGCTCTTAGCCTTCAGTTATGGTGGTCTCAGGGCAGGAAAAGGGGAAGAGAAAAAGCTGCACGGCTTCCTGAAGCTTTGTCTCTGAAGTCTCACAATATCACTTCCACCACATTCTATTGGTCAAAGCATTTCACAAGGCCCTGCCTATTAGTAACCAAACCACTGACTAGCATTTCAGGAGGAGAAAAAAATACTCCCTTTCTGAAAAACAAAATCAAAGAGAACAAAAATAGAAAATACAACAAAACTTCCTTGACCTTGGTTTTCAGATATGCTCAGCAATGGTTCCCTTTCCTTGGGGCTCTTAGAGAACCTCAAGGCAAGGGAGAAGGGGAAAGGAAAGGGGTAAGAAATCATGAGACAAGAACTTTCTTGGAACCCAGACTGGCTAAACTGGAAAAAATTATTCCCACCACACAAGCTGTCATCATCTACCATACACATACTCAGATGGAAGTAAAAGGGAGATGGGAGTACTGATAATCCTTCTTAATATTCAAGGGAAAGGCCAGGGTCACTGATTCCCAGGACTGGGGACTTTCTCTAAATTCACGTAAGTCTCCCGGGGAGACATCTCTGGGAATGATGTGGTTCACATGGAACCTGACCTCTGAGAGTTCCCAAGGGAGAGCCTCTGAGGAAGGAATCCTACTCCTAGGCTCTCCCCATCACATCTTCCCAGAACTCTGCCTGAGAGACACTTACAACTCGAAAAGCCTCGTTCCAAAAACAGGTCTGTGCTTTTTCTGTTTGCAGATTTTACTCCACCACTCGATTATCCCTTCCCTTTTTACGGCTATTTCACTGCAGCTGGGGTCTATACAGCTATGAAGCAGGAGAAAAAAGGAAGCTGGGAACTCAGAGATGCAGAGCCCAAGAAACAATCGAGTCTAAAACTGCCACTTAGGTGGGGACTCTACCAGGATCCCGTGTTAAACACCAGGCTGAGAACTGGGGACGGGGGTGCCCTGAGAAGACAACGCGGGCCATGCTTCATTGCAAGATGACTCTGCTTAACATAGGCATCGATCGTAGTCCTCACAGGCACATGGGGGAGATCTTCGACAGACACCTCAGTCCCAACGTTAAACACAGCACTGCAGAAATGAAGCTTTACCCGTTACACACACAACACCACAGACTTAAAGGTTCTTCCATCACACTAGGCCACACTGTCACGATGGGAGGTCTCAAACCCTACAGTGTCACACACCCCACATGACAGCCGACCACGGCCACCCAGAGGTCCCGCATCCGAGCAGGGACAGGAACACAATCACGCACCTGTTGCAGCCTCCTCGCCGCGCACACAGCCAGCTTGTCCTGGCGTCAAACACGCACACACGCATACACAGGTCCGAGCTACGGCCCTGCACACCCTGTCTGCGTCCCGGGAGCCCGGGGCTTCCTCACTGTGAGCGCCGCCCGCACCCCAGCCATGCACTATGAGAACTTGGAAGCGGAATCTGAGATCAAAGTTCGAAAACGGCCCGGGAGCCTGTGGGAAATGTAGTCCAAGGCCGGAAACGCCCGGATGTGGAGAAGGCGCGCGTAACCGGTGGCCCGCAGGAATGCGCCGCGGAGACACCTGGGAGTCGCCCTCCGCGCGGGAGTACGCATGCGCAGACGCCCGGCCGGCGACCGAAGGTGAGGCTGGCTGGTCGGGTGGTGGGACCGGTAGGGAAAGCTGAGGAGGCAGGAGGGAACCTGGGCTGGGGAAAACAAGAAGGGAAGAGGAGCAACCTGGGACGAGGAGTTGACGGGAGGAAAGTGGGAGTCCGGGCCCCCGGAGAAGACTGGGAGGGAAGCAGGAACCAGAGCGCGGGCCGGGGAGTGCCTGAAGAAGGGAACCGGTTGCCCGAGGCGGGGGTGAGCTCCGCAGTGGCAGGAATTTCGTCTGATTTTCGTCCCCCGGCTCCTGGAGCACGGCCTGGCATACAACAGGCGCTCCGTATGTGTGTGACTTTTCGTACCTGTCCTGTGTGTTGTGGTAAGGGAATGTGTTATTCTGCGTGACGTTGTGGAACCGGTTGTTCATGAAAGTGATGCGGTCCCTGCGTGTCTTAAGTTTTAACTTAAATCAGGTGCGAGTCGATTTGTGTTAAATCAGGTGCGAGCCAGCCTGTGTCCGACTTCGGAGAGGCGACAGTGAGGGCATTGTGAGTGAAAGGTTGTTACTTTTTGTAGAAGTATAAGTTCAGCGAAATTGTGCACGACGTGGGGGCCTATGGGATTATGACTATGTAGTGGGTGATATAGCTATGAATATGCCTAATTTTTAAAGTACTTTGTGTGCACGACCTATGATGACTGTGAATGTGGCACACTGTGCGACTTAGTACTTGAGAAACCGAGTGTTGACTAAAGTATGCATTGTTTAGATTGACTTCCAAGTGTTGGGCATTTTATATGTGCCTATAGAATTTGAGTCTGGTAATTAGACAAGTAAAGTAGTGATTTTTTTTTTTTTTTTTTAAATGGAGAAGAAGAGGCAAAATAATTTTCAGAGGGTAAAATTGGACCCATGCGCAGTGGCTCACGCCTGTAATCCCAGCACTTTGGGAGGCTGGGGCAGACAGATCACCTGAGGTCAGAAGTTTGACCAACATGGTAAAACCCCATCTCTACTAAAAATATAAAAATTAGCTGGACATGATGGCGCATGCCTGTAGCCACGCTATTCGGGAGCTGAGGCAGGGGAATCGCTTGAACTTGGAGGTGAAAGTTGCAGTGAGCCAACCACTGCACTCCAGCCTGGGCGACAGAGCGAGACTCTGTCCCTCCCCCTCCAAAAAAGACCATTTATTGGGAAAACCTGGTATTGACTGATGACTGATATGCTTAAATGAATAGAACACCACTGGGACCAGTATTTTAAAGATAAAAAAAAACTGTATCTCGTAACTGTTACTCTCAAAATTCCTATTTGGGTGTGTGTGTGTGTGTGTGTGTGTGTGTGTGTATGTGTGTGTATATATTTGTATTTTTTATTTTTTTGCTGGATGAATTTCTTCTGCTGGAAGCCTGCAATGTGAAAGGATACATGATCAGTTTCTTCTCTAATTCCCCAACCTTTATTTTGTCTCCTCTTTACTCCCTATAGGTAGTCTTCAGCTCTCATGGATTGGGAGCTGGGAAAGGAATGAGAAGACAGAAGTCAAAGACAAGAAGAGGCTAACATGACTGATACCGCTATAATTTAGTGTAAGTCATCTCTTACCTTCCAAGAGAACCTGCTGCTTGGAACCTCCAGATAGGCTTCCCTTCTCATGGACATAGCCTCTTCTGCAGCTGCTGCCCCAGTGCTTCCTCTGGGCATGCAGTGGCCCACCCACTCTGGTGGGTGAGTTTGTCCAGTCAGTCCTCTTTGATAGGACCCAAGACAACCCAGACAGCCTCCACCCATGGGGTCTTCACCTAATGCTAAGGTGAGAATTAGCCACCTCAGTCACTTTGCCCTCCCAAATCCTAGAAACATGTACATTTTTGCCAAGAATTCTCCCACCACTTTGGTTCCTGGTGGACTCAGGGTCTGAGGGACCGCTTTGTGTTGTAAAGAAGGGAGAATCACTCACGTTTTTCCCCCTGGGAAAACACTGTTCTAAAAATAATAATCTCTTAAAAATACATTTTCTTCTCTCTTCTCTCAGCCTTTCCACCCTCCTAAAGGAGGAGTTTAATGATAGCAGAATTTTACACTTGACAGCTGTGTAAGATCCTGTTCTGAAATGAAGTTCTCTTAGAATTTTGTTTCATTCACCATCTTTGGGATGTCAGCTGAGGCTGAGGCAGAAAGACTTCTAAGTTTTCATCCTATTAAAAATGAACAGTGATAACAATTAGAAAACTCAGGGTTGTTGGAAAAAACATTAACAAATCAATAGGGTGTGTATGTGGAAAGTATGGGGGAAAAAAGACTTTATTTACAGTGGTCATCAAAAATAAGGGATACAAAGGAAGTGACTTTACTAATTACATGATACGTCATTAAAAAGCACATCTTAAAACAAGACTTTGGTTGGGGCACGGTGGCTCATACCTGTAATCCCAGCACTTTGGGAGGCTGAGGTGTGTGCACTGCTTGAGTCCAGGAGTTCAAGACTAGCCTGGGCAACTTAGTGAAACCCTGTCTCTACAAAAATACAAAAATTAGCCAGGTGTGGTGGCATGCGCCGGGTGGCTAGCTACTCAGGAGTCTGAGGTGGGAAGATCACCTGAGCCCAGGGAAGTCAAGGCTACAGCGAGCCATGATCACACCACTGCTTTCCAGCCTGGGCAACAGATTGAGACCTTGTTTCAAAACAAAACAAAGTATAAAACCCTTAGGAAAAAACACATAGGCATACATCTTAATGATCTTAAATTTGGCATGCATGCTTTTGGAATTACTTTCCTGGTGATTGAAATGTTCTAAAATTAGATTGTGGATGATTGTTCATTATGATGGTCTGTGAATATACCAAAAACCATTGAATTGTATACTTTAGATGAACGAATTTTATGGTGTGTAAATTATATCTCAATGCTCTCATTTGAAAAATCTTGGCTAGGCCACCTCTGCAATGTGTAACTGAGCAAGCCATGAGTGTCTCCTGTGTTAGTCATGTTAGTCAATTTCAGGTATAATGGGACCTACCTCACTCAGGGTTTTTGTGAGGGTCATTGGATCTACATCACAGGGAATTATTTTGGAAAGTGTAAAGAAATAATTGAATTCCAACTATCCAAGAGAGGGAAACTGGGTGAATTAACCAAGTACAGTGCCACTGAGAAGTATTATGCAGCCATGAAAAGGGATCAATTGCATGGATTTATGGAGAAGGGCCTCCAGGATACTTCGAATTTTTTTGTTTTGTTGTTTTGTTTGTTTCTGAGACAAGGTCTCACTCTGTTGCCCAGGCTGGAGTGCAGTAGTTTGATCATGGCTCACTGCAGCCTCCACCTCCCTGGGCTCAAGTGATCCTCCCACCTCAGCCTCCCAAGTAGGTGGGGCTACAGGCATGTACAACCATACCTGGCTAATTTTATTTTATGTTTTTGTACAGTTGGGGTCTTGCTGTGTTTCCTAGGCTGGTCTTGAACTCCTAGGCTCAAGTGATCTGCCCACCTTGGCCTCCTCAGGTGCTGGGATTATAGGCGTGAGCCACCTTGCCTGGTCTCCAGGATACTTTGTTAGTGACAAAAGCAATAGGGAATATTATATTCTATCTTTTATCTAAGTTTTCAGCTTATCTTTTCATTATTTTCATATAAGCAAATGTATATATTTGCATTTTTTTAAACTCATGTTACCACCATCACCCAAATTTAAAAAGAAAACAAAAACAGAACACTTCTAGCCCCCATCCAGTTACCCTGGCACAAAAATAACCTCTGTTCTAATTTCATCTCATATAAAAGGAGTCATGCAGAATGTAACCTTTTGAGTCTGGCTTCATTCAGTAAGGATGTTGCAATCAGTAAGCTATAGCTGGGACTACAAGTACATGCCACCATGCTGGCTAATTTGTGTATTTTTATTTTGTAGAGACAGAGTCTCACTATGTTCCCCAGACTGGTCTCAAACTCCTGAGCTTACAGGATCCTCCTGCCTTGTCCTCCCAAAGTGCTGGGATTGCAGGCATGAGCTCAGTTCAGTTGCATGTTGGAATTCATTCATATTATTGCATGTATCATTGCTTCATTCTTAGTACAAAGTAGTATTCCACTGTCTGGATGGATCAGGATGGATCACAGTTGGTTTCCATTGATTATCTATTTATCCAGTTATCCATTGATGCACACATAGGTTGTTTCCAATTCTGAGGTGCTTATGAATAAAACTGCTATGACCATTCACATTCGGGTCTTTTTGTGGATACATGTTTTTGTTTGTCGTGGATAGATACTCAGGAGTGGTATTGATGGGTGGTTTAAACAATTACTTTAAAATGGTATCTTTACATTGAATAGTTTGGCCTCTTGATTGTGGTGGTGGTGACACAAATCTAAATGTGTGATAAAATGGTAAAAACATGCACATAATGAGTACATGGAAAATTAGTGATATCTGAAAGAAGTTGGCGCATTGTGTAATGACAATTTTCTAATTTTTTATTTTTATTTTTTAGAGACAGAGTCTTGCTCTGTTGTCCAGATTGAAGTACAGTGGCACAGTCATAGCTCATTGTAGCCTCAAACTCCTGGGCTTAAGTGACCCTCCCGCCTCAGCCTCTTGAGTAGCTAAAAGCGTACACGCCATCATGCTGGCTAATTTGTGTATTTTTATTTTGTAGAGACAGAGTCTCACTATGTTGCCCAGGCTGGTCTCAAACTCCTAAGCTCATGCAGTCTTCCTGCCTTGTCCTCCCAAAGCGCTGGGATTACAGGCATGAGCTACCTACTGTGCCCAGCCAGTTTTCTGATTTTGACCGTGTACTATGGTTATGGAAGATGTGACCATTGTGGAGAAGCTGGATGAAGGGTAAATGAGACCCCTCTGCACAATTTTTGCAAGCTTCTGTGGATCTATAATCATTTCAAAATAAAAAAATAAATTTTAAAAAGAGCCTGCTGCAAGACTGAGAAGTGCCTATGGTGTCTGATTCCCTGTTGTTGGGCATGAATTCTATTTCCTACTCTAGGCACTTTTGGACAAAGCCATGCAGAATATCTTATCCCATACCTGCCCCTGTGAGCCGCTTACCCTTTCTCAAAGTTTCCAGCAACCTGGGAGTAGGCGGGATGTGGTGGTTCACACCTATAATCCCAGCACTTTGGGAGGCCAAGGCAGGAAGATCACTTGAGCCCAGGAGTTGGAGACTAGCCTAAGCAACATAGTAAGACCCCATTTCTTTAAAAAAAAAAAAAAAGAAAAAAAAAAAAGCCAGTCTTGATGGTGTGCGCTTGTAGTCCCAGCTACCCAGGAGGCTGAGATAGGAGTATCACTTGAGCCCAGGGAGGCCGACACTGCAGTGAGTGGTGATGGTGCCACTGCACTCCATCCTGGGCAACAGAGTGAGACCCTGTCTCAAAAACAAAAAAATTAAAATTAAAAAGTAATTAGCTGGATGTGGGTGGTGCATGCCTATGGTCCCTGCTATGCAGGAGGGAGAATTGCCTGAGCTGAGGAAGTCGAGGCTGCAGTGAGCCATGATCATGCCACTGTATTCTAGCCTAGGCAAAGAGTGAGACCCTGTCTCAAAAATAAAATAAAAATAAGACTTGAATAAAAGGACAGGAAGACACAATATGATAAAATGTCAAAACTTCCTAACATTTCATGGATTTCCATTAAAATTTTAATAAAAATGTTTGAACTTTCTAGCATTGTTAAGAGAAAATAAACACCAGAAATTCTGAGAGAGAAAAACTGTCAGGGAAGTAGCCCTCGTAGATACTAAACTGTTTTAAAACTGATAACTGTAAGGTGATCCTGGCAGTTAAATGAACAGTTCAGTGGAAATAAGTATAAAGCTCAGGTCTACTTAGATATATTAAAGGGAATAAAATATGCGATAAAAATGGCAGTTCTGATGAGTGAAGGAAATACAGATTGTGGAGTATCTTGTGATACCAAACTAGATGGGCAAAGTATTTTTATTTTTATTTTTATTTTTTATTTATTTATTTTTTTTGAGACAGAGTTTCATTCTTGTTGCCCAGGCTGGAGTGCAGTGGCGCACGATCTTAGCTAACCACAAACTCCATCTCCCAGGTTCAAGTAATTCTCCTGCCTCAGCCTCCATAGTAGCTGGGATTACAGGTATGTGCCACCACGCCCAGCTAATTTTGTATTTTTAGTAGAGACAAGGTTTCTCCATGTTGGTCAGGCTGGTCTCGAACTCCCAACCTCAGGTGATCTGCCTGCCTCAGCCTCCCAAAGCGCTGAGATTATAGGAGTGAGCCATCGCGCCCAGCCTAATTTTTAAAATTGTATTTTTACATGGAAAAAAACAAATGAGAAACTATAAAAAATTATTTGGGGCTGTGCACAGTGGCTCACGCCTGTAATCACACGTAGGAGGAGCACATGAGGCCAGGAGTTTGAGACCAGCCTAAGCAACATTGCAAGACCTCATCTCAAAAGAAAACAATAATTTAAAAAATTAGCCAGTCATGGTGTTGTGTGCCTTTCGTCCTAGCTACTTGGGAGGCTGAGACAGAATTGCTTGAGCTCAGGAGTTTGAGGGTGCAGTAAGCCAGAATAGTGCCACTGTACTCCAGCCTGGATGGCAGAGTATGACCCTGTCTCTAAAAAAGAAAAATTATTTGGAACTCCTTCCACAAAAATAAAGGATTAATTTCCTTCCTTTAAAGAAGTCTAGCAACATTTCAGAAAATAAAAATAATAGAAAATGAAATAAATGATGAGACCACAGATAAGAAGCTAAAAGCGTTCTTTAAACTTATGAAAAGAAGCTTATTGTTCATGGTAAGAAAACTAGAAACTAGAACCACAATTTACATGTGTTAGACAAGCATAGAAAAATTTGTATCAGTAGTATTCCTTGGTGTGGAATGACAGGTATTCTTATATATTGCTGGCAGTACTATAAATGGTACAGCCTTAATGGAGAGCAGCTTGGAAGTAGTTAATAACAATAGGCTGACTAGGAGGGAAAAGGTAGTGCGTGAGGGGAGATGAGCTTGCCCAAAATCCATCCTGCTGCCCCAAAAGCCTGTATCTCTGGCCTTGGGGATAAAACGGGATTTGCCTAGCTAGTTCTCCCCTCTATGTGGCATGTTCAGAGTGAACAAGGATCAATACAAGGGAAATGGAGGCAATTTTAATAGAATTATAAGAGCTGCGAGGCACATGGGGTCTCACGTGGCTTTTTTTTGTCTCGGCTTTGCCTCCTTAGGAACTGCCTCTTTTCTAAAGAGGACCCCAAAGGAAGGACTGGTCATCTCTTTCATATCTCAAAACCATGGCTCAGGTAAGGAGCTGGTTTCTCTCTCCTTTCTGAAAGTTTTTTTTTTTTAAAGGATATTTGGGTATATGTCTGTCTTGTCCTACATCCTCCTGCCTATCTTTCCCTTCAGAAAACTGGTCCTCACTTCTTCCCATATTGGTTAGATATGACTCTATCTTCCACAAATGCTCCCAATTTTAACCAGTGTTCACACGTTAAGTGAATATATCAAGCCAGGTATGGTGGCTCACACCTGTAATCCCAGCACTTTAGGAGGCTGAGGCAGGAGAATTGCTTGAGCCCAGGAGTTCAAGACCAGCCAGCCTGGGCAACATAGAGAGATCCTTGTCTCCACCAGAAATTTAAAAAAAAATAGGCCAGGTGCAGTGGCTCATATCTGTAATCCTAGCACTTCGGGAGGCCGAGGTGGGTGGATCACCTGAGGTCAGAAGTTTGAGACCAGCCTGGCCAACATGGTGAAATGCTGTCTCTACTAAAAATATAAAAATTAGCTGGGCTTGGTGGCAGGCGCCTGTAATCCCAGCTACTCAGGAGGCTGAGGCAAGAGAATTGCTTGAATCCGGGAGGCAGAGGTTGCAGTGAGTGAAGATTACGCTGCTGCACTCCAGCATAGGTGTCAGAGTGAGACTCTGTCTCAAAAAAAGAAAAAAATTAGCCCAGTGCAGGTGCAGTGGCATGCGCCTGTGGTCCCAGTTATTTGTGAAGCTTAGGTGGGAGGATAGCTTTAACCCAGAGGTCAGGTCTACAATGAGCCATGATCATGTCACTGCACTCCAGCCTGGGTGACAGAACAAGACTCTCTTTATTAAAAAAGAAAGAAAAAAGGCTGGGCACGGTGGCTCAAGCCTGTAATCCCAGCACTTTGGGAGGCCGAGACGGACGCATCACGAGGTCAGGAGATCAAGACCATCCTGGCTAACCCCGTGAAACCCCGTCTGTACTAAAAAATACAAAAAACTAGCCGGGCGAGGTGGCAGGCGCCTGTAGTCCCAGCTACTCGGGAGGCTGAGGCAGGAGTGAATGGACCTAAACCCGGGAGGCGGAAGCTTGCAGTGAGCTGAGACTGGCCACTGCACTCCAAGCCTGGTGCATTGAGTGAGACTCCGCCCAAAAAACAAACCAAACAATAAAAGGCCGGGCGCAGTGGCTCACGCCTGTAATCCCAGCACTGTGTTGTTGTATTGTTGTCTTTTTGAGGCGGTTTTTTTTGCGGTTGTCATTAGTGTTAGTTGTTTTGTATCCGAGACCGTTGGTGATCCCACCATCTCATACTAAAAATACAACAAATTAGCTGGCGTGGTGCGGGTGCCTGTAGTCCCAGACTACTGCAGGAGCTTAGGCAGGAGAAATGTCGCTAAAAACAATGGGAGGCGGCAGTTTTGCAGTGAGCCGGGAGATCCCACCACTGCACTCCAGCCTGTGGGACAGAGCGAGACTCCGTCTCAAAAAGAAATAAAAAAAAAAATAGTGTATCATTCACATCGGTCCTTCTCTCAGTCTCTCCAGAAGCTATGCAGGGGAAAAAATGCATTTCCTTGAATTAAAATGGAAAATTATTACTAATGAACCGGTCTTGGTAGATTAAAAAAAATATATAAGCGACTTTATGGCATCCACAGACTGGGGAGTCTAAGATTGTAGTGGAAAATTTGACAGAATTTTATTATAAATCACTAAGTAGCAAGAAGTCTTGTTGGTTTGAGGCTTTAGGATAAAATTTGGAAAGTTGTACAAGGACTTAGGATCGGGGTTTTCTCTCTATTCTCCATTTGCTCACATGCATAACAATTTTCCTAAAAAATGTGTTGGCCTTCCAGTAACACCTGCTTCAGTTTATATTAATCTAATTTATTTTCTTACATTTTCTTCCTTTATTATTAAGTAATATATTGTATAGACGCAATAAAATGAAGTGTTAAACTTTTTTTTTTTTTTTTTTTTTAGACCGGGATCTCGCCCTCCCTGTCCCCAGCCTTGGAAGTTGATGCCACTCACCAACTGAAGGCCTGGCCTCCCCGGGTTCACGCCATTTTTCTGCCTCAGCCCTCGGGAGTAGCTTGGGGACTACCAGCCGGCCCGTCACACGGCCCGGCTAGTTTTTTTGTTTTTATAGAACGTCACCCGGTTTAGCCAGGATGGTCTCGATCTCCTGACCTCGTGATCCGCCCGTCTCGGCCTCCCAAAGTGCTGGGATTATAGGCTTGAGCCACCGCGCCCGGCCTAGAAGTGTAACTCTTAAAATATTCTGCTTCTGGTTTCAAAGACACTACTCTTTCTTGTTTCAGTCAGAACGTTTATCTTCGTATCTGGACTTCTTAAATACTGGTGTTCTCCGTATTCTATATTGATTCTCTTCTATTTACACTCTTCTGTTCACTATCTACCACTATTATTCTAATGATGCTCATGTAATTTTAATTCTAAACCTCTGTCTTTTTTGATGGATAGTCAAAATTACATATCCAGCCTCCACCAAGATATCACCACTTACATGTTCCACAGATCCATCATGCAGGTGTCTGAGATTCACCTCATTGTCTCCTTCTGCCCATTCTATCCTTTTGCTTTTTCCAGTCTGGTTAGGGCCCCAACCCCTACCCATCTGCTGATACAGCCAACATGAGTTAAAATCTCCCATTCACTGCAAAACCATTGAGTGGCAAATTCTGTTCCTCTTACCACAGTTCCCTCCATCCTCCACTGATAATGTCTTTATTTGGATTCCTCTCTCATAGCAGTCACTTGTCTTCCCATTTAACATCTTCACTTATTTCTGCTTCTCCAAGGGCTCACCCCAGGGCTTGCTTACATATTTTTGTTTTCTGTGTTTTTGTGTTTAACTTTTTATTATGGTAAAATATACATAACAGAGAGCTTACTGTTTTAACCATTTTTAAGTGTATAATTCAAAGCCATTAAGTACGTTCACAAGTTGTGTAACTGTCACCACTATCTATTTCCAGAACTGTTTTTCCTCATTTCACTTAGAAATTCTGTACCAGTAACACTAAACAGTTACTCCCCGTTTTATTCTTTATAGCATCAGATAAAAGGTGCCTTAGAGTAATATATAGACATTTCATTAGAAGACAAGAAAATGTTAAAATGCTTGTAACAGTTTAAATACAAGAATAATAATCATTAATGCTAATAGAGTTTTCCAATTCATGAACATGATGCACATCTCCTTTTATTTAGATCTTCCTTAAATTCTCTCAGTAATGTTGTTGCTTTCAGTGTACCAGTCTTGTAAATGTTTTTTGTATCCTTGGATTTTTTTTTAATGCTGCTGTAAATGGTGTTCATTTTTATTTAAATTTCCCACTGTTTATTACTAGTTTGTGAAAATGCAATTGATTTTTTTATCTTGACCTGCAACCTTTCAAAACTCCCTTATTCTAGTAATTTTTTTTTTTTTTTTTATAGATTCTTAGGATTTTCTACATGGACAATCCTGTCATATGTGAATAATGACTGTTTTCTTTTTTTCTAATCTATATATTCCCTTCATTTCTGTCTTTGCTTACTACATTGTCAAGAACCTCCAGTACAATGTTGAGTAGAAGTTCTAAGAACAGACATTCTTGTTTTGTGCCCAACTTAGGCGAAAGGCATTGTTTTTCATTATTAAGTTTGATATTAGCTATAGGATTAGGATTTTTTTTTTTCTTTTTCTTTTTTCTTTGAGACAAGAGTTTTGCTCTGTCATCCAGGATGGAGTGCAGTGGTGGATCTCAGCTCACTGCAACCTCCGCCTCCCAGGTTGAAGAGATTCTGGCATGTCAGCCTCTCATGTTGCTGGGATTACAGGCATGTACCACCATGCTGGCCTAGTTTTTGTATTTTTAGTAGAGACGGGGTTTCACCATATTGGCGAGGCTGGTCTCGAACTCTGGCCTCAAGTGATCCACCCACCTTGGCCTCCCAAAGTGTTGGGATTACAGGCGTGAGCCACCATGTCCGACTTGAATTTCTTTTTAAATGATTGAAAACATTCCAGTTAGCCCGTAGTTTTTATCATGAATGAGTGTTACATTTTCTCAAAAGTTTTTCTGGGCCAGGTGCTGTGGCTTATGCCTGTAATCCTAGCACTTTGGGAGGCCAGGGCAGGTGAATCACTTGAATCAGGAGTTGAAGACTGGCCTGGGCAACATACAAAATACAAAAAAAATTATCTGAGTGTGGTAGTGGGCACCTGTAATCCTAGCTGCTCGGGAGGCTGAGATAGGAGAATCGCTTGAACCCAGGAGGTGGAGGTTGCAGTGAGCCGAGATCGTGCCACTGCACTCCAGCCTGGGCAACAAAGAGCAAAACTCCGTCTCAAAACAAAACAACAAACAAAAAACGTGTTTCTTCATTTATTGGTTTTTCACATTATATGGCTATTACTATAATGAATTATATTGATTGATTTTTGAAATGTTAAATGTAGTTATCCTGGGATAAACTCCACTTGGTCATGATATAATATTTTTGTATATATTGCTTCATATATTAATTTGATTCATATATAAAGCAATATATAGCTTTATATATGAATATGATGAATTTGCTAATATGTTGTTACTGATTTTTCTTATCTGTGGTTCATAATGGATCTCATGTATGTTTTTCTGTTTGATGTCAGGGTAATGCTATCTCATAAATGAATTGGGATGTATTCTCTCCTCTTATTATTTTCTGAAAGAATTTATGTACAATTGGTATTGTTTCTTCTTTAACATTTGTTAGAATTCACTGTGAAGCCATCTATCTGACTTGGAGATTTCTTTGTGGGAAGATGTTTAACCAGTAGTTCAATTTTTGTAATAGAATGAAGACTGTTCAGGTTATCAGTTTTTCTTTTAATTCAATGAGCTTTTGTAGGTTGTGACTAGGAATTTTGTTCAGTTCATCTAAGTTGTAAAATGTATTGGCATAAAGTTGTTGCTCTTTTTATCCTTTTAATGGTTGTATAATCTGTAGCAATACCCCTTTTTTATTCTTGTTATTGATGATTTGTA